CTGGAAAAAATGTCTAGCTGATACCTTTAAGTTAAAAAAATTACCCTATTCACCTGGGGTGTCTCGCCTTAAACTGTGAATAATGTATTCACTCAAATAAATACAAAATATAATAAAATAAACATTAAGGTGCAGCATTTCGATGAACTGAAATAATCTGTAGGCTATTTGAACTTAACTGTATTAGTACTCACAAAACATAAAATATTTGTTTGGGTTTTTACATTATTATTAAACTGTTGTAATATTCACTCATACAAAATATAAAAAATAAACATTAAGGTGCAGCATTTCGATGAACTGAAATAATCAGTACTTGAACTGTACTGTACTAGTTAGTACTCACCTAAGCAGCCAGCTTGACATTATGACTTGCTTGTCATTGTATTTTCATGTTTTTTTAAGAAAAATTAACTTGTCCACATTGCTTGCCGAAAGGGCAGATCTGCTGGCACTAACAATGTCGCCTGCTGTGGAGAACACCCTCTCGCTAGGGACAGAGGTAGCAGATACAGCCAGGTAGCGCTTTGCTAACATGGCTAGGATATTTGGCGTTTGTAATAGCTTTGGCTCGGTCTGAACTTTTTGCGAGTGGTGGAGGCTTAAATGCTAGCGGGAGTTGGGTTGCACTTCAGTCTTTTTTCTTTTGGTACCGGTGATATTCACGTTCGGGTGATGCCTTTTCAAATTAGTGCAAGTTTGATGTATTGCCAGCCGCGTAACCAATTTTAGTTGAACAATGCCGACAAACAGCTTTGGTTCGGTCCACTTGTCTTTGTCCGTCATCTTTGTCCGAATAGTTTCGGTATGGGTACGTGTACCGTTACACCCCTACTTCTCATATTTCTATTAATTTCATTAAAACCACAGGCACGTAATTAATATCTTCCAGTTTTCAGTGCACTGTTTTCACAGTCCTACCTCGTAGACAGGCACCGCTCTCTTGGCTTTCTTCGTCTTCAGGTCCCACACTGTACAGATCTTGTCTCTGCCAGAACTACAAATAAAGATCGGCGCACAATTACATTGAGCAGAAGAAAGATGTACAACACTCGTAAAAAACGCAAACGTTGTAAATGAGTGTACAGTACCTGACCATGGTGTCCCCATCGGGGCTGAAGCTGAGCGAGGTGACAGCGCTGTAGTGGCTCTGCAGCACACACACACACTTACTGGAGCTCAGGTCCCACAGCCGGATGCCACAGTCCTGAGAGGAGGAGAAGAGCTGCAGCCGGCTGATGTCTGGGTGGAACTGGACCAGGCTGCAAAGATACACAACGTTTTGGGACTCAATGGATGTAGCTAATCTCACTACTGGCTCCATCAGCCTTATATTTCTTTGTGCTCATATTTGACTATGCTCACGGACCTCTAGTGGTTAGGGGGATTTACAAATGCATGTATTTAGACTCTGTTGGGGGGGGGGCATAATAGTATTAACCATGTCCTTTTTTTTGACGACATAACATCTTATGTACATGCATATTATTCAAAGCATTTCTGAACTTACTGTACAACGCCAGGTGACCCTTTAAGGTTGTGGGTGCAGTACTGCTTCACCACATCCCAAAGCTTTATAGTGCCATCACAGCCACCTGCAAGACAACAAGGAGAAACACTTGGCCATCTTTACAATGTCTATGTAGCAGAGATCAGACAGAAAAACAGGACACAACATATCCAACTTGTTGTCATTTAATGCTGACCTGTTGCCAGGAGGGTTGAGGTGGAGTCAAAGGTCATACTGGCTACAGGAACAGTGTGAATGGCCCTCCAGGAGCGAGTACACTGAGCTTGCCTCCAGTCCCATTGCTTCAGCAGCAGAGCTCTACTAGCTGTCACCAGCATCTGTGTTGGGAAACACAGCACAGATTTACTCACATACAATCACTCTCTTAAAGGCTGGTAAGATGAATTTACACAATGAGGTTTGTCTGAAGTGATGACAGGCGTTTTCTTTACCTCATCATCACAGCTGAGAGCAAAAGATGTGATGTCCTCCTGATCCTCCTGTAATTATAATATAGACAGAGGAGACAGGTTGTCAGGATTAAAAGGTCCAAAACCCCAAGATAACATATTTTCATTGATAAGAAAACAAAGCAAGGCAGCAAATACTGACATTTGACAAGCTGTACTCACATGCTCAACACTGTGGACGATCTTCCCCGTACTGATCTCCAAAACATTGACACGAGTTCCACAAGTGCAGAAGATGTAATTTTCATCTTTGCTTATCTGGAAAACAAACAGAGAAGTTAAAAAGGGAAGCCTGTTCCATAGTAGGGACTAAAAGTTAAGATGGAATATGATCTAATCTATAATAACTAAAGTGTTAGCACTCTAGTGCAGTTTTCAGAGGTCCACAGGGGCGGAAAGCGATTGAAAACATTAGAATACATGTGATTTTTGTGTTAGTTAACATAAATGTGATATACTGTCTGCTTAGTGTCTGGACCCCTATTCTCAAATAGCTTATCATGGCGTCCCATTTCACTTAACTCTATTCTATCTAATGATTTTACTTTTATTTTAACTATAGGTGACTGAACTGACAATGAGCTGAGCCATTAAGTCACTTGAGTCCCATAAAAGGTGGATTCAGTTATTCTTGTTGATTAGAAAACTTCTGCTCAGGATGAAGGTGGCCCGGAGCTTTGACAGTCTTTCTTAGACACATATCTACTAATAGTGTTAAGGAGTAGTGAACTACATGTTCATGTTTAACTAGCTGCTTTATACATTTTACAGTAGATTGCTTGTAGTTTCAACTACATGTATATTAGCATAGTGATTCATGTAATTACATGACTTATTTGACATTGTTCTGTGTACTCAACTACTGAAACTACAAACTAGTTTTAGGCAATAAAAGGAAAGGATTCATTTTTGTATTTCTATTTTATCATTAGTTCTCTTGTGCAATAGATTTTCTCGAACAAGTGAAAATATATGTCCAATATTTTTGACCAGTCTGACAGCTGGTCATAAAGGGTTAAGATATGCAAGCTGAAGACTGCTTAGGTTGTGAAGATTAAACAAAGCAGATGTCAAAAAAATAACAGGTAAGACAACAGCCCTATATTTTAGACCAGAGCACAAGTCTGTCAAATCGTCCAAAAAAAAGTAAAATATTTATAGTGGGGAATTTCATTTGTTTGGTTAATGTATGACATTTAACAAGTGGGCCCACACACATTCAATTGAATGGAAATTATTTGCTGGCATGTGACTTTAATGCATTAAAGCTTCAACACTGCCAATAAGAATAATACAGTTGTGTATACACGCCCACATAGTCCTGAGAAGAGGCCTAATCAGCCATATTCATTAAAAACACCCGTGTGTATATTCAGTAGTTTTAAAATCAGTTCAGACTCGTGCAACATAACGAATACTTGTATCAGCAACACATTTGACACAAAGCACATGACATATCACTCACCTGCACTTTCCCTCCTTTGTAAAACGGTTCAATCTTGCTGTCCACAACATAACTGTAAGGGAATAACAGAAATATAACTGTGAGCTGTACAAACTTGAAATGACACTTTAGCCTAGCTCGTGCCAGCTAGCATGGTTCTGCAGCCTTCACGTGCCATGCGTCAAACACTTACTTTGTTTTGAATTGAAGGTTGGTATTTGCCATCTTGCCTGCGAAAAATTCCAACACCTGTGTATATTTAGAAGCTGAAATAATGTAATTTACTTATTTTTCACTTCACACGTTGGCTGAAATCAACACATCCATGCCGCATGTTGATAATCGAGTCGCACACATTGTACGTCATCCGAGTGCACTGAGCTGTGATTGGTCAGACGGGTTTTCTCGATTCCAATGTCAAAATGTAAACAGAGATATATTAAATCATAAAACAACGTTTATACCAGTGTCTATACTCGGTTTTTTTTGTTGAAATGAACTTTATTAGTAACAAAGGCTAGTTGTATGTGATCATAAGGATCACAAAATGAACTTTGACTTGAAATGTGAGTTCCCCAGGCTCACAACAATAGACTCAGTTGCAGCTATTCATGTTGAAAAGTTCCTGTTGGACGCAGGGTGAGCTTTGATGCTAGAACAGCAGGGAAAGGACGCGCTTCATAGTGAGCGCCATTATCTCTCTTCGTTTTCATATTTTACTGTTTTCATTTGTCCCCACACACACCAACACAGACATGGTCCCTCCTTCATGTTTGGTCAGGAATGTTCATGTGTGTGTTGCATTGATAACGCGGGTGTGTGAGATGTGAGAGCACCGATATGGAGTAAACCTGTGCTGGGAATGGAAACACGGCGAGGAAAGAAGATTGACATGGTAAGTACACAACAGCTTCTGTTCTTTTTTTTTGTATTCATTTCTCCATTTTACTAACTTTTACTTTGGGTTCATTTAAAAAAAATGTACACATACATAGGCCTATCCTTAATATTGAATCAGCTACTTTCATAATACATTTGGTGAACTGTTAAATGTATCTTCCCCTATAAAAAACGCAGTCTTGCATTAGTTTCATGGTATATTTTTATTGTTTTTATTACGTTTTGTAAAAATGTTAACAATCAATTATGGAAATAATGCCAAACGTTTACGTGTTTATAAGTATTTTGTAATGGTCTCATATGTTGTTTATGATGTTTTTTAAGGTTTACACTGACCTTTTCGTTATCATATTATCAGTCATATGACTTTCTAGAACAATTTTGTTTTGTCATCTCTTGCCTCTATGTTGAAAACACTGTGGATGGGTTGTAGGCAGCTGTGGAGAAAATACTCACCTGTTGGTACATAAAGGCTCACAGTTTGTCCATCATTGGAGCTGAAACTATACTTTACACGTTATTGTTGCCGTGAAATATAAGAAAATGATGATACACAATAATAAGGTCATGTTTATTTGGCCCCCACCAGGCGGACCCAGAGGTGTCATCACAGAGCGGGGGCTACGATGTGGAGCTTTTTGTGGACACTCCAGACTACGATCTGATCTGCACTATATGCCAGGGGGTCCTCAAGTGTCCAGTAAGAGCAGCGTGCCACCACATCTTCTGCAAGAAATGCATCTTACAGTGGCTTAAGAGGTACTGAACATAACATGGGACAAGATCAGTGTAAAGTTATCCTGTATTGGATTGTTATAATCATGCCTGGTCCTAACAAGAGAGCGGGACTAAGTGTTGTTTGTTCTCCACAGACAGGAGACCTGCCCCTGCTGCAGGAAGTCTGTAAACACAAGCCTTATCTTTGTCATGTTCAAGCTGAGCAAATCTATTGGCCGCATGAAGATCAAGGTAGGAAGCTTTTAAAAATACTACATTAAAACATATTTTTTGATCAAAGTGATGTACTGTTATTATGACAACTCTCATTTGAGTGACATTTGAGTGGCTTCATTAATACTTAAAGGAGCAACACACATCAATGATATTATGGCCTTAAAAGTGACCCAGCACTATGCAGTTTTGAAGCTCTAGGCTATGGAGAGGTCAATACAAAAAAATTCAATGAAGGATTAGAATTGACCACTCATTTCACCTCTGCCTCTGCTTGAATAATAAAGTCAGCTTACTACCACTTGAAGGATTTTCCCTCCATGCTGCAGGCTAGATGCAGATTTATGTGAATTCTGGATTTTATGACTACATATATTTCTTTGTGTTTCTCTGTGTCTGCTCTCTCTTACAGTGTAAGAATGAGATCTGTGGTTGTGCAGAGACCTTCTCCCTCTCGGAGCAGTACTGCCACAGCTTGAGCTGCCTCTACGAGCTCATCCCCTGTCCCTACCAAGGCTGCCGGGCGCAGCTCCTCCGCAGGGACCTGGACACCCACACACGCCACTGCGAACACTGGCGTCAGCCCTGCCACATGGGCTGCGGGACCATCCTCTCACACCGCACCCAGGCCCAACACAACTGCTACAAGCAACTGAGGCAGGAGCATGAAATCAGACAGAGGAACCACCGGGCCATCGCCAACGCCCTGCAGAGGAAGATGAGGAGGATGCAGAGCACCATGACCCACATGAAGAGGCAGATAGGGCTGATCTGCGAGAGCCTGGAGGTGATGGACGACCTGCACGAGGTAGAAGAGGAGGACCTTGGAGAGAGCAGTGGAAGCTCGAGCGGGACTCCAAGTAGCAACACCAGCAACTGCTGAGGGAGTCACTTACTAATGCTGCTGATGGTTGTAATTTCTGCATGTGTTTATTTATTTGAAAGTGTGTGTGTGTTTTAAAATATGTAGGTGGTACATGATTTAAAAGAGTGAATTTGTAAAACAAATGTGTGCTGTAGTTTCCTATATTTTGTTAATAAAGTATTTAAAATGAACACAGTCATCCTGCCTTTCATTCAGGAGAGAAGCCTTCCTTACAGATGAATACTTGTATTAATGCAAACATTTACCAGAAGTGTGCAAACATAGCCTACATCTAACTCATGACTGCGCTTTCCAGAACATTTAAGTCTCGATCAGACATTTATTCATATTTCACAAGACACGTGTGGACTTTTTATCTTCTTCTTCTGATGCATTTTTTCTGTTTTCTGTTTTATTTATTTTAAGAGGGAGGAATCTTTATTCCCCCCTCTTAAAATATCTATAGTCTTATTTTAGCTTCTAACTTTTCAAACATATTCCTAAATTCTTACTGGCTTATGTGTAGACATGCAAATTCATAAATAAAATAAATTATGTTCGCCAACAGAATGAAAGCTTTACAGTCGCAGAGCATTTTACTATAAAGGAGTTATAAGTGGATGAATATGCCTATTTGTTTTGTTTGCTTTTTTAAATGTTGAAATATGATGTCATTAATGTGATACAATATATTACATAATAAGCTCTTATATTAAGGCTATGACTATTGATATTTTAAGAGGGAGGAATCTTTATAAGCTAATTTTAGCTTATAACTGTTAAAACATATTCCTAAATTCTTACTGGCTTATGTGTACATATGCACATACATAAATAAAACAAATTATGTTCGCCAACAGAATGAAAGCTTAACAGTCGCAGAGCATTTTACTATAAAGGAGTTAAGTGGATGAATATGCCTATTTCTTTTGTTTGCTTTTTTAAATGCTAAAATATTATGTAATTAATGCGATAAAATAGAATAGATAGATATAGATAATAGAGCTCTTACAGGTCAGTTCTGAAAAGCTGCCGCTTGGGGGCAGTGTTTTTTGCATGTTTTCTCTAGAGGAGATATCGCGAGACGCTTTAGCCCAGCTCTATATAAACACCGGTTTGACTTCTCGTGGTTCTTCTTCCCGTAATAAAGATCACGTAAGTGAATTGCCGTCTCTTCCTCTCCTATCTTAATCCTGTATTATCTTACACATCCCTTTGCTAAATACTTTTATTCTACCTCAAAACGCACACATAAAGATGTTATATCAAAACCCTGTACTTATTTACGAGAACAATTAAGCACACATTGAGATATTTGTAGCTATTGACTGAACGTTTGCAACGTTGAACATGGCGGCGATGCTCGTTTTCTGTGAGATGCGCTGCCACAGAATGCTCGGTCGTTAGCGCTCCTTTTCTTTATCGGTTGAAGTTGATATGAATTTTTATCTTATTCTTTCCCGCAGCAAATGGCGGACAACGCCGGTGATAGAGGAGGTTTCCGTGGAGGTTTCGGCGATAGGGGCCGCGGCAGGGGCCGTGGACGCGGCAGAGGCCGTGGACGCGGACGCGGTGCCCGGGGCGGGAAGTCCGAGGACAAGGAAGTAAGTTCAAGACTCCCTTATTTAAATGATTATTTCAAAAAAGAAAATCAGGATGAGTGCTAATGCCCTGAACGACATTTAACTGAGATGATTTCTTTTCAAAGTGGATTCCAGTCACCAAGCTGGGCCGCCTGGTTAAGGACATGAAGATCAAGTCCCTGGAGGAGATCTACCTGTACTCTCTGCCCATCAAAGTAAGCAGCGTTTAAAGATCACTAATGTGACAGACACTAAATGATGATCTTGTATTAACAGGGGGGTCTATTCCATGCAAATGGCGTATTATAATCTCCCATGGATTAATGGTGTGTAAATTGTTGTGCCATCACATTCAGGCCAAAGGGATACAATATTTTCTGTCAAAGATTAAGCCTGACAGTTTTCCAAGTATTTGAACGCATTATAATAATGATAAATGCAGGACGAATGTTTGTTTGTTTGCTCATTTGGCATATAAAAAACGTGTGTGGAATATACATACTTGAGGAACAACTGCAACTATTGTAATACTTCACAAGTGATGCTTGGCACAGATTTTTTGTTTTTATTCTTATTTATAAATTCATACATGACCTATATTGGATGTGGTATATGCTAAAACATCTGTTACTTTCTTTCCCTGCAGGAGTCTGAGATCATTGACTTCTTCCTGGCTTCTGGCCTGAAGGACGAGGTGCTCAAGATCATGCCTGTCCAGAAGCAGACCAGGGCTGGTCAGCGCACCAGGTTCAAGGTGAGTTTGTTATTATAGTTACATTGGACTGTTTAATTCCCCAGAATCTTGTTTGTCCCAATGTGACACTGTTTGCTTTTTTCTTACAGGCCTTTGTTGCTATTGGTGACTACAATGGCCATGTTGGTCTGGGTGTGAAGTGCTCCAAAGAGGTGGCCACTGCCATCCGTGGTGCCATCATCCTGGCCAAGCTGTCCATCGTGCCCGTAAGGAGAGGTTATTGGGGTAATAAGATCGGCAAGCCCCACACCGTGCCCTGCAAGGTGACTGGCCGTTGTGGCTCTGTCCTGGTGCGTCTCATCCCCGCCCCCCGTGGTACTGGCATCGTGTCCGCTCCCGTTCCCAAGAAGCTGCTCACGATGGCTGGTATCGACGATTGCTACACCTCAGCCAGGGGCTGCACTGCTACCCTCGGCAACTTCGGTACGTTTCTTATGCTGCTCATGTGTTCTTTTATTTTCTCATTGCCCTGCCCAGCTTCAACTCTGCTGTGGTGTAGTTGTCATTATCAGGAGAGAAATGAAAGAGTATTATTGTAATGCACGGCAGAGAGACTTGTTTAGTGGTCTCTTCTGATCCCCTTTTCAGTGCTCAACATTGTTTCCAAAAAAGACTGCAGAACTATTTCTGTCTTGCAATCTACTCACTGTTTTTATATTTGTTTCCTCTTCAGCCAAGGCCACCTTTGATGCCATCTCCAAGACTTACAGCTACCTGACCCCTGATCTGTGGAAGGAGACCGTCTTCACAAAGTCTCCCTACCAGGAGTTCACTGACCATCTGGCCAAGACCCACACCAGGGTGTCTGTGCAGAGGGATAACCCTGACATGCCTCCTGCCTAAAGTTTTTGTACAGTCGTTGAATAAAACGTTCTGAAACAACATGCAACGTGTTTGTCTTGTGTTAAACAGGGGTGTTGCTAAATAATAAGACGCTACATATGTAAGATGCAAGTTTTGTCCAATGTCAGACTGTACAATAAAACAGATGTGTTGTTTTTTGGTATATATTAAGTTGAATCAATATTATATATCCTATTTTAAAAGAACCAGGCAAATGCTTTTGGCTAATTCTGCAAATTAAGTACAACGGTAAAAATTGGCTATTAAAATCAAGAGTCCTGTTCAATGTTATACTAGTCTTCATGGATATGAGGAAGATAAATTAAATGCAAATGGCAACATTTGACAGTATCATTCAACCCACACTAAGGGTGTGAATAAAAATCAGGACCTTTAAGAAACCTTAGACTTCCATGTTAAAAATGGGATGTATCTCTGGAATTATGAATGATAAAAGTAGCCATCGATTCCCGACGAGCTGAACGTTTTAATGTTCAATGTGGGAGAACAGGCGCGGAATTGTGGGTAGCATAACAGTTGGAATGCTGTTGGCATTCCCACTAAATAAAAGCTTGTGCAGGAAGTTGTTGCGCCAACCAAGTTTTATTGCACAACCCAGCCACACTAACAAGTCCCGAGACCGACACTGACTTGTCCACCCCAGAAAGACACAATGCAGAGTAAATCTTTTTAAAATTGTAAATCCTGCAAATGTCTTCCCACTACCTCTTTAAAATCAGTACAGCTCTCCACTTTAAATACAATATTTGTCATATATAACTTTAATTTGTTATAAATTACTTAATAGTTTATGATAATTCTGTCTGTCACAACACACATACCAAAGCAAATGTGTAAACCTGCTTGGTAATGCATGTTTCAGATTCTGACTTTCATGCATTCATACAAACTGTCATTTTAAGGACTAAAAAGACCAACAAATGATTTATCACATACATTTTATTTTACAATAGTACAGAGGACATATAGTAGGGATCTGTTCTTAAGAAGTCTGGGCCTGAGCATCCATCATCCGTTCTTTTTGTTTCATGAGACATTTCCTGCCGCTGGCATACGCTCCCAGGTCTCCATCTGCAAAGAGGAAAGTCAGTAGTTCAACAGACTTAGTAGTTAAAAAAACTACGATTAAACTACTAAAAGTCTAATCATAATTTCTCCAAAACCAAAGGTGTTATATACAAAATACCTTTGTGCAATTGTTATAAAAAAGATGGCTTTTTGCATTTCCCTTTCAAAAAGGGCATCAAATAAAACATTTTTAGAATTATTTCAGCCCTATTCATAACACTATTATTACTAATATCTACTTAATTTGTAAAAAAAAAACATTTAATTGACGCAGGGGACAGTAAATTAAATCCCCAAGTTTATGAACAGCAGTGTAATATGACATGTAGATTTTCATTTTCAAAGTGTGTTCCACCGCACATGTCCATTATCACATTACTTACAGCGTAACTGGAAGTTGTTGGAAGTCTCTTGGAACTGCTCAATTTCCTTGGCACAGTTCTGCAGGTGGCTGGATCCTTCCCTCTGATAGCAGGCCCTCATACGATCCTGGACTATCTTCACAATCTCCTGATCCACTTTGCTAAAGAGTGAAGACAGAACAACAGGGTGACACTCTTTAACAGAATCTCCAGAGCTGATAGAGGCTCTATTACTGGTGCATACATTCACTATTGAGTCCTTGAAATAAAGGCAAACATTTCTATGCCACCGTTGTCTTGACTATTACAACTCCCTTGACATGTCTTTTTCAAAAGTCTCTCCATCATCTCTAATTTGAGCTTCCCTACCGGGGCTACCCATGTGTTTTATAATGTTTTTTAACATAAATGTAAAATCTGGTTGGGCATATCCTTTTATCTTTAAACCGTTTTCCCCTTATAGCCAATCGTTCTAGCTCTGATTCTCTGGCATTTGCTGTAAGAGCTCCAATACTTTGGAAAGCCCTGCCTGAGGAAAATAATATACAGTAAGTTCTGATTCAAGTTATCTTACATTTTATATACCATTCAAATAGTTTTAGACATTATTTGTTAACAGCTGCTTCTAAATATATTTTTAGAACAATGTTCTCTATGTGTTAAGCCATTATAACTACATATTTGGCTAAACCACAAGTCTGCCACTAAAATTGCAATTATCTCATACGTTGCTGTACTGGAGGATGTTTCCCCTATACCAAGCCACCTGTTACACTCGGCAATCCAGCCTGTATGTATATTGTATCTTAATACTAAAATATCTTGAGCACTCGCATGTCTATCAGGATAAATACATCTGATGTGCATCTCTGTCGGTTACTTACTAGTCTCTCCTCCACTGCATCTCGGCTTCATAGTAGCAGAGGTAATCTCCTTGCTCGCAGTCTGTCAGTTCGGGAACACGGCGGAACTTCTGGTGGTAGTACACCGACTTGTTGTTAGACCGAATACTGTCAAGCGCACCTGGAGGAGAGAATAAAAAACACATATATAAACCAAGACGTAGTTAAACGTAACGCTAAGCAAGGACACGTACTGTGATTTGATATACACGAATGTTGCCTATACATGTACATAGCTAGCTTACTATGTATTGTATTGCCTAAAGCCAGTCTTGTTATGTATTTAATGTTACCCCTTTGCAAGGACACAGCATGTATGGCATTGTTATTAAGTTAAACCAGCTGTATGACTGATAACTTTAGCTGTGTTGTTGTGCTAGCCTGTTAGCCCAGTTAGTTCTGTTAGCTTGAGTTACCTCTAAATGTGGAGACAGGCACATCCACGGAGTAATAGAAGAGGTTACTCAGGATCAAGGCCGGGTTTGGCAATGATGTCGTTCTATTCACAACCGGAGTCTTAGTCGGAGGCTCCGGATATGCTGCTTTATCATGGTCCTTCATTTTGCCTTATTTTGACCACGATAATGAAATCCTTCAATTCGACCTCAGCAGCTCTCCTTTCGTGGTGGAGAATGCGCATGCGCAGAAGATATTCTTCTTCTGTTTGAATTGCGGACTACAAACCAACGTTTAAAGGTGCATACCGCCACCTACTTTACAGGAGTGTGTCACTTCGAGACTTGAAAGACAATTACTTAAAATGATTAAATTAAAAAAACAAAAACAAAACAGCCATGCTATATTCTAGAAATTAAACCTATATTATTCCAATACTGAATAAAGCCATGTGCTGAAGATACCAATCTATGGTGAAATAGAGGTTGGCAAATGTAAACGTAGGTTTTGTTCTGATGAATCAAAATGTATTAGTCGTTACACATAATGTCCCAAAAATTATCTAAAGCTCAGTTACATATATATATATTTTTAACAAGTTTGAAGGGTAAAGGTTACATTTAGAGTTGTTGTACCATGGAAAGGCAGCAGGTGGTGGTGCAAGGCTGACACTCATGTTCTCTAACTATTTATAAAAACGTATTATTGACAGACAATAATAGTAAACATATAAAAGAATTATAGGCAGCTCTCAAATAAATAAAGTAAAAAAGTACTGTACCTCTGAGGTGCAGTTGAGTTGAATTATAAAGCAGGCTATAAATCCTCAAGTAAGAATAAGTTCCTAAAATTTTTACTTAGTAGCCTACTTAAGTTATTGTTACATTCCACAAATAATGTTGGCCACAATGAACATATTTCTTCAACCCTTTGTCTCCTTTCTTGGTCAAGTGGTTCCTGTTCACTGGGCCTCCCCACCACGTCAGTCCTCTGATATTAACCCCCTCCTCCCCTCCTATCCTCTCCTGTCATAACTTGGCAGAGATTGCCTTACTTGAAAAATAACACCACTCCTCAACTGGGCCAAGCACCAATTTAGAGCTCTTACACCCGTATCATCTTAAGTATGACCCTTACACCAGCACCTCTCTCTTTCTATTGCTCGACTTGACAGACATCAGACATGGTCAGTGCTCCTTCTATTTTAGCATATTTTAATTTGCAGTTTTGTTTGTCTTTTTCTTCTACTTGTGTGCATGTGTGTGGGGGTTATCACCACTTTGTTTGAACACTTGGTTTTATAAGGGAATATAAAGGATATTGAATCTTGTAATGGCTGCTTTGATGAGACCACGTGTAGAAATGAAATGGCGACTTCTTTTAATATCCCATATGAGTCTATGACTTTATTTTTAAAATGGACTTCCATTACAGTTTATTCTTTTGATGTATTGTTTATTTTTATTAGGTCATTCAGAGGCCATTTCATATTAATGGAATTTAATTTTGAATAATACAGCTGTACAGAAACCAGACAGATGACTACATTTTACTAGGGCTGTCAATCAACAAATAAATACAACAACTTTGATGATTGATTCATTGTTAAATCAACGTTTCATACAACAATATATGAAGATTATATGCTTTATATGCTTTATATCATATTTAACTTAATAGTCTCGGGGTTTCGATACATTTAACAAGACATCCAAAGACATCACCCTTGAAATGTATAACGTTTTATAGACCAATTGATTGATTAAAGTAACTAATCACCAGATTATTGATAATAAAATAATTGTATAACATTTATTAAAGGCAAGGATGAATGTGTCTCTTTTTTAATCTACTACTGTAGTTCTTAAAGTGTTTTTAAAAACATTAATTTTTAATACATCTCATGTTTCATTTGAACAAGTAACTCTGTGCCTCTACAGTCTCATCGTAAATTCCATGCACCCCGACATGGGCACATGGGGTTCCTGCCCCGAAAGCGTTGTAAGAAACATCGTGGCCAGGTGCGCACATGGCCCAAAGATGACCCCAGCAAACCTGTCCACCTCGCTGCTTTCCTGGGGTACAAAGCTGGCATGACCCACATAGTGAGGGATATGCGCCGCACAGCCCTAAGTATGTACAACTGTAACATGTCTGCATGGGAGGATTTAGCAAAGAAAAAATATTTTTTTTGTGATGTTTACTGCTCTTTTCAGAGGATAATGGACTTTAAAGAGCAGGTGTTACATGGCACCCTACTGTGTTCTGTAAGGATGTAATGGGGTTGAGCTT